CTCTTCGCCGCCCTGGCCGCCCGAGGGGTCTTCACTGCCCTGGCTGCCCGAGGGCTCTTCGCCGCCCTGGCCGCCCGAGGGGTCTTCACCGCCCTGGCCACCCGAGGGGTCTTCACCGCCCTGGCCGCCCGAGGGGTCTTCACCGCCCTGGCCGCCCGAAGGGTCTTCACCGCCCTGGCCGCCCGAAGGGTCTTCACCGCCCTGGCCGCCCGAAGGGTCTTCACCGCCCTGGCCGCCCGAGGGATCTTCGCCGCCCGAGGGGTCTTCACCGCCCTGGCCGCCCGAGGGGTCTTCACCGCCCTGGCCGCCCGAGGGTCTTCACCGCCCTGGCCGCCCGAGGGGTCTTCACCGCCCTGGCCGCCCGAGGGGTCTTCACCGCCCTGGCCGCCCGAGGGGTCTTCACCGCCCTGGCCGCCCGAGGGGTCTTCACCGCCCTGGCCGCCCGAGGGGGTCTTCACCGCCCTGGCCGCCCGAGGGGTCTTCACCGCCCTGGCCGCCCGAGGGGTCTGCACCGCCCTGGCCGCCCGAGGGGTCTGCACCGCCCTGGCCGCCCGAGGGGTTTTCACCGCCCTGGCTACCTGAAAGATCTGCTCCATCCTGGCCGCCCGAGGGGTCTTCACCGCCCTGGCCGCCCGAGGGGTCTTCACCGCCCTGGCCGCCCGAGGGGTCTTCACCGGCCTGGCCGTCCGAGGGGTCTTCACAGCCCTGGCCACCCGATGGACTCTGTGTTTTTCCTTCACTGCCCAATGAACTCTGTGTTTCTCCCTCACCGCCCTATGGACTTTCTGTTCCGCCCCGGTCGCCTGATGTCTCTGTCCCCCCCACCCCGCCCTGGTCCGTTCCTCCCGTCCCGCCCTGGTCTGTCCCTCCCGTCCAGTCTGATGGAGCGGCTTCACTGCCCAATGAACTCTGTGTTTCTCCCTCACCGCCCTATGGACTGTCTGTTCCGCCCCGGTCGCCTGATGTCTCTGTCCCCCCCACCCCGGCCTGGTCCGTTCCTCCCGTCCCGCCCTGGTCTGTCCCTCCCGTCCAGTCTGATGGAGCGTCTGGTAGCCGCTCCGTTGAGGGGGGGGTAGTGTCACGTGTCTGTCCTGTCGTGTTAGCACATGGGTGGTTTTATGTTGAGCCATGTGCTCCTGTTATTGTTTGATCCTCCCCCTCGTTACCTGATTAGTGTTTGAGTTCTCCCACCTGTTCCCTCTTGATTTGTTCCCTATTTAAGTTCCTTCATGTTTGCAGTCTGTGTTGGATCTTTGTCTTATGTCTCCCCTGTTCCCTGGTGTTATTCATGGTCAGTGTATGGTATTTCAGTTCAAGTTCAGTTTTATGTTTTGTTGAGTATGTTTTCCCCCTCGTGGGTTTTTGCTTTGTGTTTTGTTTTATTTTGTTAATAAATCATCCCTTCACTGCACTTGAGTCCTTCCCTTCACTTTTTGTTAAGTGTATCGTGACACCCTATCCCCAGGGCCCAATAAAGGACTATGTTCATACTGTCAGTCCAAATCTGACTATTTGTGTATCAATTGGAATCTAATTTATTGACTGTCCTCACTGTGTATTGCAACTGTTCAGACTGTGTGTTCTTTGCTGTGCTTTTAGTTTCTGGAATATCTGCTTTGGTTTTTTATGACATTGCATTGGTACAGTAGGCATACTCCAAAAACAACAGCAACATGGAGGGATTTGCAATACAGATGCAGTCTTATCTACAACATGACGGTATGTACAGCATCACATGGGATTACTACCTCTTCTGATGCAACAGCAGATTGTAGGAGGCTGGTATACACAGGTTTATTGTCATCTACGACGTATCAAAACATGTCTCCATGATTTCTGCTCGACCAGCACTTTGCAACAACGCAACCTTGTTTCTACAGTGACTTTCAGCACATTTCCTAAAACAACATCTAACATATTAACGCATTTCATATGATTTTTTGCCATTCACACTTGTTAAATATTATCAGATTCCAATTCCAATTAGGATTGACAGTCTGAACATGGCAATGACTCCGACCCTAGTTCATACCATTTTTACTGCCTGTAATGTGATGAGCAGACCAAACCATCACTGTACAATAAACAACAAGTGAGCATTTTAAGCTCAGAAACATGCTGAGAAGAATCTAACAAGCATTGTTTAGGCTAAATAAAAATATTGCATCAGCTATAAAATGGGTGGGAAAGACTTTATAAGACGTTCACATGGCCGTCATGGCAAGAACTAACTAGCGCCACATTGAAACAAAGTCTACACCCCTATCCAAGCGCATCTGCGAACAGAGGAAAGAAAAGTGATCAAGTATCTAGAGTTTTGCTGTTCTCTAATGCCTAGTGTATAAAAACAGCTCAGATGGCAGACATGTTGATTATACTTATCACAGATGAACCTTGTAAGTGCTACATAGCTGTCTGAGTGGCACAGTGTGATAATGACTCCATATCAGACTGAACACCTAATTCATGCCTAAACAGATCTGCCTAACACCGCACACATTACATGGTTCAAGTGACACAATTCTGATTTTTTTCATCCTGTGTGGCACAAATCGGCTATGACCCATTAATGTGTTAGTAGATTGTGTGAACTGGATCAAATGAATCACTGAAAAGATCAGGCTAAGTGCATAGTTATTCAATCATTTTAGTTCCAGAAAGCATTTGTTCATGAATTGGACAGGGAGGGTGGATAACGTTTTCAGTGTGACAACTTATATTTCTGCCTGATAAAAGTCACAAATCATATGCACATTAACGATACTTTTATGGTACATTTTTGTTGATCCTGTTAGCAACATTTGTCATTTATTTTCATTATATTGAAAACAGCAGCTAGTTAAAAAAATCAACCTTTGTGTTGAACAGAAGAAGGAAAGTCATAGGGGTTTGGAATGGCATGGAGATGTGAATATAATTAAAGTAATAACAATTCCTATAACTTCCACAAAATTTCCCCTGCCTTGGGCAATGGCTGATTGTGCACTTTCAATGAGAAAGAGGACCAAAAAGAAAGGAAAATATGTGCGGATGTAGACTTTATTCTACTCTACAGGGACTGATTCATCCTGTTAGAGGGACATTTAAAAGAGGGTGGGTACAGAGTTTTACAAGAACAAAAGGACCAGAGGGCAAATGATGCAAAGCATCATTACTTTTTCCATCTCTAACTGGAGCTAACTTTCATAGACTAAATATCCCTGATACATTTCCATAGCCTACAACAACGAAAGATTGTGAATTGTTCCTATTAAGGGCACCAGCTAAGCATCAAGGAAAGGTTAAGGTCAATTAGAAGAAAGAAGCGTGGTGGGGAAAATTGTAAAGATGAGTGGATTCTTCAGTGAGGAAATGCTTTTCAGATGTGGTCACTTGATCCAAAAGGTCACAGAGGTTTTTAGGTGAACCTGAAAACCTGAATATTTTTGTAAAGATATAAAGTATGTTTTATTAACAAAGTTCGAGAGGAGCATGTTCAAATGATCTATCCAATCATTATGAGAGACCTAGTGTATGAATACGTAGCTGACTCACCTATGTTCCTAGACATTTTTTTCTGCATCCCCCCACAACCCTGTGTCCTCACACTCGCCTGGTTACTATCCTAATGAGAGATACGGGGGCACTCTTGGTTCGGGACACATTCCGAGCTCGGAGCCCTCCCCCAGACAGCATGCTAAAATATGCATACTCTTTTACTCTGTCTAATTATTTGTCATCTACAAATGATTAGATAGAGTAAAAGAGTATGCATATTTTGAACTCATACAAATAACTAACTTTTAATATGAAAGATATTTTGAAACATTAGGAATAGATGACTTAATTATAAAAACTGTTTAAGGCTAGTAATAGGCTAATGCTTGATGAGTATAAGTTAAATAGCAAGCCTGCACCATTAAGTTTCTGCATTTATAACAAACATTTTCCTTTCAGAAAAGAAATAAACCTAGCTCCTTGAGTCTGCTTTTCATTACAAACTGAAAGCCAAACGACAGAAGGACAATGCAGGATCAAAGTATTTAAGTAATAAGCGCGATTTGAGCTCGGTGTGTTTTAAAATATATCCCTAAGGTTATTTGGGCCATTTAATGGGTGTGATGTGCCGCATCAGAGTAGTTTCTGACGTCAGCAGTCTGGGACCTTCTCTCAGCATTTTCGTTTGATCTTCGCTTCATGACGTCACGCAGCTGTGCAAGTATCCATAAAGATGCTGTTGCTCAAATGCATTAGCGCTATTTGTATATAGGGGAAATTGTCTACTTATTAACTGAAGACGTGGAATCATGTAGGTCATGCTAATGCCTCGATTCAGACTGCGACGAATAATGTATGTTTGTCATTCACAAGACCCTAATAATTGGGAGGGGAGGGG